GGAGCAGCAGCAGGGCGACTGAGCCAGCACGGCGGCCATTGCCGCCTGAGGTACCTGGGAGCGGAGGACCTCTCCTCCCTCCCTCGTCAGCTCCCTCTCTCTCTCTCTCTCTCTCTCTCCTCCTCCTCCTCCTTCTTCTTCTTCTTCTTCTTCCTCTTCTTCTTCTTCAGACTAGAGACTTATACTAGTTGGACAGAGATCAGAGTTGGACTTCGGTGATATGAGACTGTGGTACTAACCTGATTGGAGACTTGGAGATTGTTGAGGTTGATACTCGGCTGCATCACAGTTGGACACCGGTTACATCTAGACTCTGTATCTCCGATATTGATGACCTATGGGCCTCGACATTTTGATCTTGTTGTATGACATTTTGGACTACCATATCGGAGACCTATCAGACTCCATCTATCGGTGTTGTCTACCTCCCCACCTCCTTCGTCTCTCCTCCCACCTTTCATCTGTGACTGCGTGTACGGGATCTGGGCATCGTCTATGAATGGCCCAGACCCCACCATCTCACGATTGTGTGTGTGTGGAGTGATGCTATGTGAGTCAGTCTATGTGAGTCAGTCCGTTCATCAGACTTCCGTTGCATATATGCTCATCCTACATTGGTTGATCTTTGGTTCTGCCCATACTCATTGAAGTATGCAACAGGGACGAGTGATATCGAAGAGGAGTTGGGGCAACAAGGGGCGACGAGGAGGACGAGCGATAGAAGAGGATGAGCGATAATGAAGAGGATGAGGGCCATCGAGGAGGAGGACGAGCGATATCGAGGAGGTGGAGGAGGAGGAGAAATGGAGGCGAGTGAGATATGTATCTTTATTGATCGGATGCATGAATGATTGCAATCATGTATGAATTTTTTTCTTTTTTAGTTGTCCTGCAGTTGCCTTTCTGTTCGTCCATACTTTGGCACCAAGTCGCCAAATGATTGATTTTTGACCAATCACCAATCAACCGATCAATCAATCAACAAACCAAACAGCAATGATTAAACTTTATTGTTGCCCCAGCTTGTGGTACGTGAGGTACAAATGGTGTGTCAGCAGAGTCATCACGGTATGATGCGCTGTTTTTTTTTTTTCCTTCTTTCTCGGTCCGGACATTTTCAGGGTCCAGGGCACCAGTCCAGACAGTCCGGGTCCTGTCCTGTCCGGCTGTCCGGTGCCTGTCCGGATTACGGGATGTCTGGACCACCGGTCCAGACATGTCCGGGTCCGCATCCACGGTTGCCATAATCCACCTGCCCCAGGTAATTCGAGATTATTATGGAAAGTATAGTAGATTGTATGTCATGATTATTGGTTATCGAGCTTCTGTTATGACAGGTACGTTGAGACTCTTGAGAGTTTAAGCCTCCTAAGGTATCATGAAATGGAGGGTCTCAATCCTGATAGGCATTGTAATCAAGCCATGAATGTCAGCTATGATCATTCTGACTGAGAATTCAACCTGAGAATTCTTTTATTGGGTGTGTCCCCGACCAGTTGCAGCAGGACATGAACACCCACATCCACCTGGCCTGACACTCCCGCATTGCCACAGGTTACAAGGTGGCACAACACACCCCAGCAAGCTACAAGCGTTGACTCGCCCTGGCCATCCTCCTGAGGCCACTGAAAGTGACGGCAACGGGATAAGAACCCAGCACCTACGCAGTGCTGCTCAGGCATGAAACCTACTGAGCTAGCCGACGGGACAATTTTGGCAGTCAAATTAATTTGGCTGCCTTCTAGTAGCACGAATAATGACAATTTTACAAGTGAATGATGGCTCTCGAGCGGAGTCAAACAAATGCCAGCCAGTTCTGTTTTCCTTTTCTTTTTATTGGAAGAGGAGGGGGGGGGGAGGGTTGGATGAAAATGCCATTGGAACTCACCAGGCCAGGATGGCTGTAGAAAGTCCCTGCATAACTGGCGAAAGAGATCCACCCTGTTAAGACATAATCATCTACAGTTTTGACCACCTCTTTCAATATGTTTCGCAGGGCCAACTGAATGCATGTCTGTTCATGCAAGTGCGCCATAGCTTTCGCTGCTGCCCGGTTCCCCAGCACCTCCGGATATCTCCATTTCATAGACACAAGGGAAAGGGAAAACATCCATTCAGCAGGGCCTGCACCAATCACTTTCCGTTTTGTTTTGCTGTGTGTTTTCAAATTTCACCACAACAGCCCCTGTTCCACCCAGATGAGTAGATCCAAGATGGATGCAGCTTTACCTCTACTGCAGACAATGAAGCAGAGTTGAGATGAGTTATTCCAACAATGAAACACATTTACCTCTATAGCAGCAAGCAACATGGAGCAGAATAGATCCACCACATCTCTATCTTGCCTTCTTCTTCTTCTTCTTCTTCTTCTTCTTTATCTCTCCCTCCTCTCAAGTTCATAATTCTTTCTTTTTGCGATTGGACGACATTGTGCTTTCTTGTGAATTTTGCACTTCGAAGTTGGGCAGGATCGTAACTTTGGTATCAGAGCGGATTCTACTTGCTGGAGAGAGTTGACCTTGTCGCCATAACCCTAAACTAAGTGGTTAGGGCTAACCACTTAGGGTTAGGGTTGGATCGTTAAGGGAAGGGGGGCAGCGTGGCAGAGGGAAGTTGTTCCCACCTGGCAGGGCCTTGTAGGGTTGACAATAGACCCGCCCATGTTGCTAGAGTGCATGTTTGTGGTGGCGAGACACTTGGAGAAGCTTCGTGATGGAATTTGAGAGAGGCAATAGTGAGAGGCACCTACAATTGGAATCTGGACTTCAAGGGAGGCATTGAGCGACTTCAAAGCTCCCCTCAAGTTGGTGAGCTTGAGGGTGGACACTAGTGTAGAGATGTTAATTGGGTCAGGAAAACTGTATGAGAGGTGGGGTGAGTTACACTTCATCTCAAGGGCTCAGGCCACTCAGGTAAATGCCGTGCACCCAAAGGTTGCCCATGTGTGTGGTGTGTGGTATTGCATATCCTGTCGGGATTTGATTCTGAGCACTTTTCCTGTCCTCTATGGTCTTGGCTGTGTGCATGAGTTTGTGGACTGCTTTCACACCTGATGGGTGGATGTATGGAGTATCTTGGTCTGAACGCCACATCTTTCTACAGTGCTTTGTCTATTCATTTCTGAACGGCTGTGGTCTGTAGGTTCTCTCTAAAGTTAAATTTCGTTTTTCAGTAGAGAAAGCAGTGTATCCCTCATGTACGGGGACGGGCTGTACAGATTTCCGTATGGGCCTCCAGGGCCCTTTACGGCCCGTACGTACGGGATTCAGGCCCTCCGAACGGCCATTTCATCAAAACGGACATTCTATATTTTTTAACGAAATTGGAACTGAGTATTTTGGCCAAAAACAGGTCCAAAGTTTTGGCCAAAATACTCAGTTTCAAGTTCGTTATAAAAATATAAAATGTCCATTTTGACAAAATGGCAGTTTCCATACGCGGCCACCCGGGGGGTGTTTGGATGGGTTGAGGGGCTGGAGGGGGTGCGGGTGTTGGGGGGTAACCCGGGCTACTAACCCCCCTCACAAAAAAAAAAAAGAAAAAAAAAAAGGTTCGGGGCATTAGGAAAAAAAAAAAGATTGATTAACTGATTGATTAACTGATTGATTGATTGATTGATTGATTAATTGATTGATTGACTGATTGATGGATGAATGGATTGATTGATTGATTCATTCATTCATCGACAGTGGGAAAAAAAAAACTGCACTCAAAAAAACGATTGATTGATTGATTGATTGATTGATTGATTGACTGATTGATTGGATGTGGGGGGGTTGCCTCCCCTCTGGGTGCACGCACACACACACACACACACACACACACACACACACACACACACACACACACACACACGCTCACAGGAATCGGAGGGACCAGTCGGAGAAGACAGGCAGGATCGGCAGGTGGAAAGAAAGGGTAATGCTTATGACCCAGCTGGCACCACCCATCTCCCTTCAGAGATCCGTTAGGCAGGGTGACCCGATTGCACCATACTTATTTGTGATAGTAATGGAAGCCCTCGCGGCAAATCTACGGACTCACAAGGACATAAAGAGAATACCAATAAACTCGATACCTGAGGACGCGATCCCGGTGTGCTCGCTATTTGCTCACGATCTGACCCTGATGGTGGACGCCTCCCACGCATCGATGGAGGAAGTCCAAAAAATGATGGACAAGTTTTGTGCCCTCTCAGATATGAGGGTCAATTGGGGGAACAAAACCTTGGGATGGTGGATTCACCACCAAGGTGTTAGGCCCCCGGAGAAACCCAAGGTCAAATGGCTCCCCAACGAAGCTCCCATCCGGGTATTGGGAGTTTCACTATCGACTAATGGCAGACCATCAGTGAACAACGAATGGATATCTAAACCACCCTTGGAAAAGCTGGTACAATGGAAGGACAGGCATACTTCGTTGATGGGCCGCACTTTGGTGATTAACAACGTTGTACTTGCCTCCTTGTGGTACACGTCAGCCATCTGGGCGCTTGATAAAACAACTCTCTGCCCCCTGCAATGCCAAATAACTGCATTTCTATGGAGGGGGGACCATGAGAAACAGAGAGTAATCAATAGGGTGGCATGGCAGTCTGTAATTCAACCTAAAACCAAAGGGGGGCTGGGTATACTAGACCCAACAATACAGACTAAAGCGCTGGCCCTACAATGGCTCAACCGCCTGCTGTTTCGCCAAGATACGCCATGGACAGGGCTAGCCCTGGAACAGATCTCCAGGCTAGCCCCCGAAACAACGGCAGAGACCCATCCACTGACATGGCTGGAAAACAGGGGCTGGACGATACTGCGAGGGTACCCCCACCACCAAGACCCGGGCCTTAACTCACCAAGGAAACAGGTAAGGAACGATCTGTGAAACGATCACTTCTGGCCATCCCTGTTGAAAACATGGAGATCCCTCCCCCTACCTAATAAAAGCCAACCCGAGAGATGGGAGGAGGTACTTCGCCAACCACTCTTTAACAATAGGAGAATTGTTAACACCAGGGGTCAAGTTCTCCACTGCATGGAATCTCCCTGGCGGGTGTGGGTAAAGAGAGGGGTAATGAGGATAAGTGATATTTGGGACCTGACCAAGAGAGACTGGATAGACAAGGACCAAAAACTACGATATAGCCATCGATCGGAAATGGCTCTGGAGGAGGTAGTTGAAAGGATCCCCCTGAGTTGGTGGAAAATCCTCAGGAAAGGGCCCACTTTACAGGAAACCGACTGGGTGCAGGTCCACGGTAGCAAAGGGAAAATGGGGAGGGTAGAACGCTGTGACCAGAAGGTCGAGTGACTGTGGATATATACACAATAGGTCGGGACAACACCCTCCAAAGACCCGCCACAAATGAAACACGCTGCTACCAGGAGGAAGAGCTGACGCGAACTAGAGTATTGGAGGACGGGGATAAATGGGTGGCTTTCTCCCCCGGCACCCCGATTGCGCAGTTACCTCTAGACCCGATGGAGTGGTCATGGACAGAGTTGGGAGGAAAAAGGAAGCCAGGCACCCAAATGCTACACAACATGTCAGTCAAATCAATGTACAGAATGCTTCGGCCCAAAATCAATCTCCGAGATCAGGTAGAGACCAAATGGATGAAGCATTTAAATATCAGCACAGCATCACTTCGGGGAGTCAAATGGTTCCACTTATCCAAAGGGAAACCTGCGAAACTGGCTTCTCTCCAATGGCAAATGGATCACCGCTGCTTCCCGACTAATGATTGGTTGATAGACCGGACGTCCTTGGAACAGATTGGACGGGCTCTGCCTTGGTGCAAGTTGTGCTCTACTTCATTCCCAGCTAGGAAAAGACCTGAAGCAATAGAACACATTTTTCTGCAATGCCCGGGGGCAGTCTGGCTCTGGCGCTGGTGGGACAGGATCTGGAACCAGCTAGAAACAACAACGCCCTGGCCATGGGACTGGAGGGCACTACTATTAGAAACATGGTGGGCGGAACACGCAAATGCCTTCACCCAAGAAACCATACAGCAGCAAATCCAAATAGGAATAACAATACAATGGGAAGAAGCTAAATCACAGATCAATTACGTACAAACACAAAAAGAAAAAATTCAGAAAATTCAGGCCTTTAGTGCAAACTGGCTCGGGGGGAAGCAGGGGGGGAAGATGGGGAGGGTGGAACGGGTAGGAGGAAATGGGGATCAGAGGAATGACCATGAGGGGCAAGGGCAACGCAAGGACTACCGGTTGATCTTTCATGAGTGGACTAAGGTGGATCCCACAATCCCGATGAGAACGGCAAATGACTTCCCAGATCCCTTCCCCCCTCCCTCCAACAGTATGGTAGAACTGGGGTGGTATGGGGAATAGGGGGGAGAGAAAAAAGAAAAGGGGGAGGTCCTGGATCCCAGTTTGCTCCGAGGTAATGGGATGCTAACTACAACAACGGCTCAAGGGCTGGCAGATCGGTACAGCACAGCCCGCCTTGTTTTTGGATAAAGGTGCTAATTACTGATGGGGGAAGAGAGGAACTAGGTATTGTAGCAGGTATCTGGCGCCTGATTCAGGGTGAAGAGTATATATATATATCGTCAAATAGAACTGCCCGGTAAACCGTAGGCAAAGAGGGAGAAGAGGACAACAAACGAGGGGCTGTGACAAACTGCTCCGTCGGAGTTTCACCGACTCATCAGGAGGCTTATATATATATATTTGTGACGATATATATATATATATATATTTCTATTTTTCCGAAGGATCCCGCCTGTCTCAGATCACGGCAGATCCACGGCCAACCCTTCCTCCTGGCCTATAGGTAGTCACCGAACGTTGAGGATCCCCATAGCACCCCTCTTGAGTTCCTTCATAGCCATATAGCATCTTTTAAATATGTATCGACAATTTTTTAGAAAAATCATACGATTAAGCACGATTAGTCTTAGCGATTGATTACTGATAACGCTCCGGTCCTCTAAAACCGCGTATCATCTTTGGCCATATGAACCATTCATGGCCTAAAGGGTAGAGTCGTTCAGAGCATTGGAAGAGTCCATGAACCACTTATTGAAGTAAAGCCCCAGAGCTCTCTATTCTTC